CCAGACCAAATGCGATCGCGGGCCAATACAAATCGTTGTATAGATTGTAGGGCTACAAAAACAAATACAAACGTTCATAGTGGTTTTTAAAGAAAATAAAAATACGGTTATAATGTTACATTTTGTTTCATTAATTTATCAATTTAAATTCATTCATTTGGTATTTTCTGTCAAGTTTAAGCTAAACAATATTTCGATGCCTTTGTCGCTACTCTTCGTACCTCTTAGTTAATATGGATGGAGTTAATATAACCACGTATTTCTCATATGTAAATTATTAAATTATTTTGATTAGATTATAAAATTAATTGTAAATGGTATATATTATTTATTCATTTATAATTCCTGTATATTATTTAAAGCTGAGTAAAAGGAGAAATTGGAACCATCCCTTTTTTAAATGTGAAATTTGTGGTATTGTAAGAAATGCAAGTGTTAGTATTGAAAGTATGAATCTGTTACCATTTTTAAAATTTTTTTTTATATATATTATGTTTTCTATATATTTGCACCATATTCTTCATATTAGTTTCTGAGAGTAGTTTAAATTGAATGAATGCAATAACTATATAATATTTTATATATGGTGTGGCAATTGCAGAAACCCTTTCATAAAAATTAGTTACTTTCATTGGTTAGCTAATGGCAATAAACTATCTATAGATACAATAGTTTCATACTTGCATTGTGACCTGATTAGGAAGTGAAACTATCTGTAAATTTTATTATTATTGCTAACTATTAAATTTTTGTAAATTAGAATAATGACTAGTGATCAACAGCTTGAATTTTTACTTTAATATGTGAAAAAATTTAGTTTTAAATATAAGTTTTCATTAATATTTTTAAATAATAATTACTTCGCTAATTAGAAATTTATTAGTCAGACATATAAAAGCAGTAAAAGTAGTAATAAAATTTTTAGTTAATTTTCATAATTTTTCATTTCATGGTTCTGAACTTGTACTTATGGATATCTATTAAATTTTTTTTTTTTTTGAGAAATTTTAAACTGTTGTAGTAATGCAAAAATATAATACTTTCCTTATTTTTGGAGTAAAATTTTTTGAATTCAATTTTCTCACATTTTCTTGTATTTTGTTTTTTTTTCAATAAAAATAAAATTTTATGACTATAAAATTTAATATATAATTACTTTTAGAAAACACCTGTAAAATTAAATACAATTACAAATCCATATTTCTTACTGCGATAATTGCTGCATGGTTAAGTATTATTAAATGGAAAATTTTTGTCATATTTCCTGCTCTATATGATATTTTTGTTTTTACTTAAAAAAAATATTCAAAAATATATATTGACATCGTTATAGAATATACATCGTATGAATATATTTTTTATTGATACTTATTAATATATACTGATATTCTATAACGTAGCATAAGAAATACTACAGCACATGTAATTCTTAGTTATATAACAGCATTATTTATAGGAAACCTATTATCATATCAGTAGAAAACTCATATGCTGTTAGCTTTAATACTTTCAAAATATCACTACTTTAGAAACAAACAAAAAAATTAAATTTAATATTTTAAGGTTGTTCTTTCTTAGTCATAGAACAGCATTATTTATAGGAAACCTATTGTCATATCTGTAGAAAAATCGTATCAGCTTCAATATTTTCAAAATTTATAAAACAGTTTATATTATCAATTTTTTAAATTGGATATCTTAAATATGGTAACTAGAATTTGATGAAATTTCTTAATTAATTCTTTAATATTGAACAGCATCAGCAGATTGACATATGCCGTAGGCTGTATCGACATATTGCAATGGAAAATTTGTCCCAGGGATATACCTTTTCTGTTCTAACAACCACCATATATGCAGAAGTACTGTTCCTATTCAATTATACATTTTCGTTTGTTTATAATCTATGCATTTCTATTTATTCGACTGTGTAAGACCCTTAAGCTCAAACGGTTTTTCCTGTTTTTTAGATTAAGAAATCACCGGATTAAGTTATATCACTTAGTTAAGAAATAGCTTACATAAATTTTATTTTATTAACTTTTATTATCAAATGTTTTTTATTTTTGTGGGATTTTTTACAAAACTAATTTAATTGAAATATTTCATAACGATTTATTAAAAAAAAACTGAATTAAATTATCAATTGTGCTATTTACGACTTGATCAATATTAAATTAAATTTTAAATCAAAATTATTTAAGTAGATTAAAATATAATTAACACACATCAGAGCTTAATATGTTTAATATAATAATTTTTAACCACTTGCTACTACAATCATTAATTCCACACCTTAAAAACACTTTCAATGGTATCATGAAGATCAATCGATCAATCAAATGGTTTATTCACAATTTTATGCACGCTTTATTTTCTTGAATGAATTACAATATTATTTTCAATTTTTTCTTTTTTTTTGTATTATTTTTTTTTTTCTTAATTTAATTACGGTCACAATAAATAAAGTCTGAAATGAATAAACGTAACGATACATAAAAATCAAACAAGACAATTGACGTTACTTTCTGAAGTCTTAATTCATAAAATTACACGATCACGAACTCATTTGTATTGACATCCTCACAAAGCGCTACATAATTTTTTTTAAACTTTTTTTTTGGTTCATAAAAATACTGATTAAATAATAACAGCAAATACAATGCAAATATCGTGAGTAAATACAATAAAAAAATTTTTTTTTTATTTTTTAATTTTAATTAAAAAGAAAGGATCCCTTCGGCGTAGCATGACGCCTACAAAAGCTAAATAATTTCGCGAAAAACTACACGAAATTGTTAAGCTAAAATCCAAAAAGTAAATAAGTTTGCAAAGGTACAAAAGCCTCAGTTGTTCACATCACATCGATCAGCTGTTTTGAGAGTGAGAGTGCCACACAAATACACAATACAAGACACCAAATGTCCAAAATCTACAAAAGCCTAAAAAAATAAAAATATGAGCCAAAACAATTTAATTTCAAAGAGCGTAATGCTTATTAAGTAACTGTATAAGAAACTGGACTTCGTGTAAGCTTGCGTTGCATGAGCGTATGTGTGTGTGAGTATGTGTGTGTTTCACGTGAGAAGAGCACAGTGAATTGGTTTCGCTTTCAACTGATGATGACGATCAGCATGAGACACGCTACTTGAATTTTATTTAGTTTTTATTATTGTTTTTTTTTTTTTTGCTACTTTTTTACTCGTACAACTTTATTTTTGTTTTTGTTTTTGTTTTTGTTTCTGTTTTTGTTTTTATTTGGCTTTGGCTTAATGCTAGTGCGGCTGCTACTATTGTTTGTTGTTGCTTTTGTGTTTGGCCTAAACTTGCAGAAGACATCTTCGTAGTTGGAGCATCGCAAACGCTAACAGTGGGAAACTGTTGTAACTCTCATTATTGCTTGTTTCTTCTTCTTGTTGTTGTTATTGTTGTCTTTGTTGTTGTTGGTATTATTGCAGTTTACAGCTTTACTGTAGATTGTACTGTAATATGTTGATTGTGCGGTAATTTAAGTTTGTGTTTATTTTTGTGTTTATTTTGTGTACTTTTTGTTTTATACGAGTATGTGCTAAAATTTGTTGCTTGCTTTTAACCCCATGTGGTACAGGCACATCAACAGCTTTACTACGCAACAAACTGCAGAGACAAAATATAGTCTTTACAAACTACAACACTAACAACAACAACAACAACAACAGCAACAACAATAACAGCAAAAACAACAAGTAAAGAAGCGAATACCAACAATTATACTAAAATGCTGTTTGCTGTTGCTGCCGCTGTTGCTGAGGTTATTTTATATTGTTGCTGAAGTTATAGCCGCAGTCGACGACTCGTTGTTGTTGTTGTTATTATTGTTGTTTTTGTAGTTGCTGACACCGGCAATGGTGTGTTTGTAATATTGTACACCGCCATGTGAACCTTCTCCTACTCCGCACAAGAGTCAAATTTGTTATAACATGAATTTTTGTATAAATTGATGAGACGACGGTTAGTATCCTCAGTAAAGCGTTCGATTCAGTTTAACAAACAACATCACCGTATTCAAAAAGTGAACACAGTACTTTCCTTCCTATCCCTACTTTACTACTATACACATTTAACCAACCACACTCACTTACGAAAGAAAGCACAGACAAGGATTACAAAGAGTCTGTGCGTGTGTGTCCAGCAAAGAAAAAAGGATTATTATTTTAAACGATTTAAACGCATATAAAAACGGTCGCGTACGATCCGTGGACGACATCTATTTGAAATAAAGTGAAATTAACGTAAAGCCAAAAATGAAAGTGTTTATTTTAATGTCCTGTTTGGCTTTAGCCGCTGCTAGGCCTGAGGCTGGTTATGCCTACAACAGACCTGGTGGTGGCGGTGGCTCTTCCGGTGGTTTCCACGGTGGTTCAGGCGGTAGTTTCGGTGGTTCAGGCGGTAGTTTCGGTAGTTCAGGCAGTAGCTTTGGCAGTAATTTTGGTGGCAGTGCAGGAGGCGGATTCTCTGGTGGATTTAGTAGCGGTGGAAGTGCTGGTTTCAGCAGTTCAAGCAGCAGCTTCGCAGGAGGTGCGTTATTATTACAGTCAAAAAAACAAGAATATTAAAAAAAACTCTAATAACATAAAGTGAAATTTAATTAACAAATAACAAAAAGTGAATGAATGTGCATTATAATTGAATTAAATTGTGATGTTCTAGAAACAATAAAAAACGAAAAAAAAATTATTATTAAAATAACAGTTTAAAAACAGAAAAAATTAATTTATTGCATATATTAAAATAATTGAATTTAAAATTAACAATCAAATGAAAATTTTAATTAAGATTAAAATAGAAGCATAAGCCTTCAATAAACAATTTTTTTTTATTATTTTTTAAACTAAATAAAACATTAATCCATTTTGCTTATATATAACATCCAAAATTTCTGTTTAATTGTAAATACTCATAATTAATTAATTTTCTCTCTTCTTTTTTATTCATAAAAAAATATAGCTTCAGGTGGTAGCTTTGGTGGTGCAACTGGTGGAGGTACTACACTCGTACAGAAACACATTTATGTGCATGTACCACCACCAGAGCAAGAAGAAATTCGTCAACGTCCAAATATACCAATTGCTCAAGCACAGAAACATTATAAAATTATCTTCATTAAAGCACCATCTCCTCCAAGCTATCAAGCTCCAGTCATTCCAGTGCAACCACAGAACGAAGAAAAGACACTTGTCTACGTGTTGGTCAAGAAACCCGAGGATCAACAAGATATTGTCATTCCAACACCTGCACCAACACAACCTTCCAAACCAGAAGTATACTTCATCAAATACAAGACACAAAAGGAAAGCGGTGGTGGTTTCGTTGGTGGAGACGCTGGTGGCTATACTGGCGGCAGTAGCAGCAGTAGCACTTTTACAAGCAGCAGCGCTGCAGGTGGTTACACAAGCGGTTCCAGCGGTGGTGACATCTCTGCACCATCATCTAGCTATGGACCACCTGGTAAATCTGGACCATACTAAACGCACAAAAAATGAGAAGCTAAACAATAACTTACGTAGACAATGAAATAATGTTAAATTAATGCAATGTTGGCTAACGCTCCTGGCTAGTCTTGTTAAATGAATTTACTGAAACACTTTTAAAATAATATTTTTAGCGAATTGAAAATAACGTGACGAAAACTACCCAAAAATATCATTATTATTATTGAATACAATTACGAGAGCTGATACACAAAAAAAAAAAACAAACAAAAATATTGATATCGTTCGGTGGATATACTTGCTGTGACTACTTATTGACTCATTCTGTGTTAACAGAATTTTGACGCTTCGACTCGAGACTTTGGTTTGACTCAAAGTCTGCACTGTCAAATATTTTTGTGCTAAACTGTTAACTGTCTGTGGTTCTCTAACCTTGCCCAAGTCCAACATGAACTGTATAAACATCTTCTGTTATATCTTTTGTATATAAACTATTTTCCCACTCACTATCTCTGTTGACTCTTTGCATCTATATATTTTGTTCTTATATATATATTTGTTATAAAAAAATTAATATTTAAGTTCAGATGCGATTAAAATTATTTTTAGTAATTAATTAATAATTATTATATTATAATATTGTTTAATTTTAAGTTAATTTTTTATTGCACAATAAAAAAAAAACAACGGTGACAAAATTTAAAAAAAAAAAAACTATTTTTGATTTATAAAAATATGCAACACTAACATTTTTAATAGGTAATATAAATAGATAAAAGTCTGGAACCACTTAGAAATCTATTTTAGATAATTTTAAAAGATGCTTCATTTATTACTAAATATAATTATTGAAGTGACTACAGTGCACAATAGATCAAGCTGATCACAGTGCAGAAAGGCCTTAGCCTAACCCAAAAAACATTACATTGCTAAGTAATCAGTATTATTTATGGGACTCATCTCTACAATATTGATATTACTTCAATTAAAAGATACATTTTGACTTTAGGCACAATAATGCTTCAACTAATTTAAATAAACTTTATTAAATGAATTATTGAAAAGCCAATAAGTCTAAACATATCAATTAAGTAAATTCAGTTATATATATTTAAATAACTGAATCTATATATTATCAGTGTATATATATTAGTTTTAGAATTATCAGATTGAAGCATGAAGAGTTGGATTATAAAGCTACCATGTAAATTGTGATTACTTTTTAAATTAGTAAATCTAAATTATAATCAATGAAGTTGGAGATATATATATATACATATATATTACAATCAATGAAATTGGAGACATTATATCTATACATATATAATTATGTAAAGTTTCACATTTTACTGTTCCAAAAGTAAATTAAAATAAATAAAATATCCTAATGATTTAGATTATAATCAAATTTTCATTTCAATATATTTTCTGGATACCATCACAAGTTGGGAAGTGCCATATTATAAAAAATAGTCTACGAGACATTTTAGATTACTAAATATTTTTTCTAAAACTTGTAGGCACATAGCTGGTAATAGCTGGGCCATAACTTAAAAGTGTAGGCGTGAAAAATTTGAGGATTGTCCCAATAAACCAGATCTTTTATGTAATGTTACAAAAAAAATTTAGTCCGGGTAAATCACATGATTTTTGTATTCATATCTTCAGTTTATTGACAAAAAAATTGGCAATCATGTCGAAGTAATGATTAGAATTGATCATTTGTGTCGCACCTTTGTTAATTTAAAAAATGTATAGGCGGAGCCTATTACACCTCCAGACCAAATGTCACATCATGTAGTAATTTTTGTAGACGCAATGCCTTTTCGATAGTTCTTATGTGGATTTTTACTTACCCAGGTGCGACAATTTTGTTTAGTGATATATTCTTCATACGACGAAGGCACCTCTTGGCTGAAGGAAGCCGATGTGAAAAATTTTCAACACTTTTATGGCAAAAAAGTGTTTGGTTCCGAAACCCGGAACCAAACACATGGTGTCGTAAATGATATAACTGTTTGACACATGTTACTGAAACAGTAGTGCCAAATTAGAACAGCGAAATGGACAATTTATCAAATTAATTAATTAAGCAAACATAGTATATGTATTTGGGATCTTAATTTGAATTTGAATTTGGTAGAAATGTTTATGAAATTATTTATTTGCGTGCTTGAAGAATTTGCTATGGAGTGGAAGTTGTAAAAAGAAAACCAAATGTATTCGAATATTAAAAAAAATAGAATTCCCTTCAAAATCTGTGTTAATGAGAAGTCTACTCAATAGGATGGTTCGTTAAAGACGTTTTCTAAAGTATACTTATGATAATATAAGGTATCATATTGAGAGAGACGGGGACGTTTAAAGTGATGTTCACAAAAATGTTTAATTCTATCGATATACATTTATGACAGTAATTAAAATTGAACTATAATTAATATAAAATCAGTTAATTTGCAAAAAAAGAACAATAAAACTAAAAAATTATTTCAGAAAAGTAAAATGTACATTGCAATACTCCACATGTGAGCTAAGATTGTTTTGTACCTATAGTAAATTAATTTGAAAGGAAAACTTTAAAATTTTGTTTTATTGTTTCTCAACTTATTTTTAAAAGATTTTTTCCCTTATTTTTGTTATAAATCCAAGCACTTCATAACGTTCATAACGTTCATCTCTGAAATCACTTTCAATGGCAGTAGAAAAAGTTTTGCGCATCGTTTTCGTGACGGTAAAAACTGAAAAGTCATGGGTTTTTATTTCAGCATCTCGTATAGGAAATCATTGCTCAAGTTATGGCGATGAAGTTATGAAAAACTTGTGAAAAAGTTGAAAAACAAACATGCATAAGTACAAAAAGATAAAATTGTAGAAATAAAAACGACTAACTTTTTTATCATAAAAAAATCTAAAAAAAAAAAAATAAATAAATGAAAAAAAAAACATTTGAAACATTTTACACTGAAATTTAGAGCTTAGCCAAAGGCAGGAAAACCATTTTTATGGGACAGGAAGCTCTGGTTAAGCTGATCCTTTTATGTAAATCACAAAGACTTCATGAGGAAATCAAATATTAATAAATAATGTTAAAAATTCTTTACTGACAAATTAAACGCCCTCAGGCAAGTGTTAATCTCTTTCAAAATTTAATAATGAAGGGTTTAGGAAAATACATTTTTTTTATTTTATATTAGTTTTAAATTTAAAAAAATAATGTTAAATTTGTAAATCACAGAAAAAAAACTATATATAGTGAGCTGAAAAGAAATAAATATTTGCATAAAAATTGATTTTGCATAATTTTTCTTTGATTGATTTAAAAATATTATTCTTGAAGTTGAAATAAATTGTGGTCACTGAAGCGTATATGAAAAAGATTACCCGTACACTCATTACTTATAGGCGAGGACTTATAATGAATATAAGTTCGATCTTTGTGAAATCACAATTTTGCTAAAATGGCTAAAAAATACAAATAACTAAAGAACAAATAAGCGATTCACTCCCACTTTTTGCATATATAGTCTAGTGAGAAGAAAAAATTTTTTTAAAGTTAATGAACAATTTTTTATGAAAATTTTATATTGGGGTGGGTGTTACAGTAGGCAGAATATTATAAAAAAATTTTTTGGAGCAGATATACTATAAAGCAAGTACTTAGTACTTTCTACCTGAGAAAAAAAGTAAGAAAATGTAAAAGTACACCATGTTTGGATCCAAATTTGGAGTGATTCAGGTAGACCGATTGGGATCAAATTAGATTCAAAAAAAGACTATCTCAAAAAATATGTTTATGAAAAATTTCGTTTCAGTATCTGTAATGATTTAGAAAATATAGAATTTTGGTCGGCTAATTTCTGTGTTGGCAGTATAACCATCCACTCGTATGACATGACCAATCCACTGAAGCCACTAAAATTTATTTCGCTTAACTATGTCAATGTCTTGACTTTTATTCAATATTTCTAAATAGTGTAATATATTCACAAGTGAATAGCCTGTAAAATGACTCGGCTTCTAAGATTGTAGCCCTTTCCATACCTTTTTCTTTTCAGTCAAATCTTCTAAGTCTTAGTCCATCATACGCAGGTGTCCGTACAAATATATTTTCAAATCAACTTGAATTTAGTTATGCAGATTTGAAAAAAGATTTGAAAAACGTATAATCACTTTTATATATTAGTTTTTTAGTCATTCGAGGGCATGGATTTTAAAGACATACAGGTTTGCATGACATACTTTAGGTTCACATTGAACTACCTATGTTTTACTTAACGGTTCAATTTTAAAAAGATAAAGTTGCCTGGTTACACAAATATATAATAATATTAACATATTGGTTTTAATGGAATGCGGTTCCACTATGTTAGATGGACTTTGCAAGATTTGTTCTCATTGGATCCGCCATCATTTGACATAATCTCAAACAGGTGCTCATGTCGTTGTAGGCATTCGTTTCTTTTTTCGGGAATACTGGTCATGTGACAACTATGCGGTTACTATTACAGGACCGTAAAACGGTCAATTCCGAATGATATATAACCATTTGTTTATTGGAAGTCTTCAGTGAAATACGGAAAACAAACAAGCGCCGTTGGATGATTCGCCTTCTCCATCAAGATAATGCGAGGGCTCACACATCTCGTCTAACAACTGAGTGTTTGAATATTCATTAAAATCAAATTGATGGATCATCCGCCGTACAGTCCTGATTTAATCGTTTTAAATATTTTTGGAGCCGTTTGCGAGCACTTTAGTTAATTTTAAACTTTTCATATGCACTGCGTAACTGTCAGTGTACGATTTAATAACTTCCGTAAATAGTGTTGAGTATTTTTAATCAACTTTAATCAGAACAATGTTTAGCACCCTGTATGAGTTTATAAAGAATTGCGAAAGAATTAAAGTCAATTTAGGTAACATTTGTGTGGATGCGGGTATCTTTTGTATAACTTAATGACTTTTTAAAAGTTTTCTTGAATAAAGATATAAACAAAAAAAAAAAAGAAAACTTTGTAAATGTTAAGAAACTCACATATGGCTAAATTATTGGGTATGATTTTAAAATTTTTCAAGTTTAGAAGAAAGAAATAGGAAAATAACGACTGCCTTGGTGACAGTCAACCTTTGTAAATTCTATTCTACTACTGATGAGATTCAAACTCCAATTTATTTGAAAAACTTTTATAAATGTTCCCAAATCAAAACAAAACAGATTTGAAAAATTAGTTTA